ACACATACATACATCCGGACAATTGATCAGGATCTCATATAACATGTTTCTATATAGAGGAAAATTTGTTTTCACCATTTTTAAAAATTTTATAAACGAAAGGACTACATAGCTTCCTCCACGAGGAAGCAAAATCAATCCGATTTGTCTGAAATTTGTTACTCGGGGGTTTTTGGGGTCGCTGAATTCGAATTTGAGGTCGGTTTTTTGAAATTCAAAATGGCGGATCCAATATGGCGGACAAATTTTTAAAAAATCAATCCGATTTGCCTGAAATTTGTTACTCGGAGGTTTTTGGGGTCGCTGAATTCGAATTTGAGGTCAGTTTTTCCAAATTCAAAATGGCGGATCCAATATGGCAGACAATTTGAAAATTGATGTGTTTCCACCGAAAATCGTTTTTTAGAGATTTTTGGAATTTTCGAAATCAGCGACCCCAAAAACCCCCAAGTAACGATTTTCGGCCGAAACACATTTTGCTTCCTCGTGGAGGAAGCTATGTAGTCCTTTCGTTTATAAAATTTTTAAAAATGGTGAAAACAAATTTTCCTCTATATAGAAACATGTTATATGAGATCCTGATCAATTGTCCGGATGTATGTATATGTGTGTATGTGTGTGTGTGTGTGTGTGTGTGTATGTGTGTGTGGATAGTTTTTGTGAACACGATATCTTTAACAGGTTTTAATGGATTTGGGTAAAATTTGGTAGGCTTATTTAACACATTAATCTCTCAAAAATGACGAGAGGATTTTTAAAAATACCCAAAAAAAAAATTTTATCCTCTTTTTTCCAAAATTTTTTTTTTAATTGAAAAAATTTTTAAATCGAAAAATTTAAGGTAATATATAATATAATCGTCTTCTTTATGTCAAGATGAATCGATTGATATATATAAAGTATAGATTTGATTGAACTTTAAAGAATTAATGAAAGTTAAAAAATCAAAAATTCTCATTTTAGCTAAAAAATGATGTGTTTGATTAAATTCAAGTTTATATATGAAATAATTTTATTCCTTGCATTGAAACGAATTGGTTGGTATATAGAAAGTATAGATTTGATTTAAAATTAAAAAAATTAATGAAATTTAAGAAATAAAAAATTTACGTTTTAGCTAAAAAATTGTGTTTTTATTTAAATTCAAGTTTAAACATAAAATAATTGTATTCCTTGCATTGAAACGAATCGACTGGTATGTATAAAGTATACATTTGCGTTAAATTAAAACAATTAATGAAAGTTAAAAAATAAAAAATTTACATTTTAACAAAGAAATTTTGTGTTTATTTAAATTCATGTTCAAATATAAAATAATTGTATTCCTTTTTTTAAACTTTCATTAACTCTTTCAATTTAAATAATAATAATAATAATTTAAATATATATCATACATACCAATCGATTTATTATAATGCAAGGAATGCAATAATTTTATGTTTAAACTTGAATTTAAACAAACACAATTTTTTTATGTATATTAATTTCAGTGTTACTGCTTCCTCCATGAGGAAGCAAATTTTTTGCATCATATAATGAGGAAGCAAAATGTTCATGAAATGAACATAAAGGACACCCTACTTGTTTACATTATTTAACATATTTAGTCACCAAATTTAATCCGCCATTTTGAATTTAAAAAAAACGACCTCAAATTCGAATTCAGCGACCTCAAAAACCCCTAAGTAACAAATTTCAGGCAAATCGGATCAATTTTTTTAAAATTTGTCCGCCATATTGGATCCGCCATTTTGAATTTTGAAAAACTGACCTCAAATTCGAATTCAGCGACCACAAAAACCTTAAATATGATGAAGTCATATTTTTTTGGAAACTTTTTTTTCGGACCGTTTTAGGCCCACCAGCGATTTTTAACTGGACAGCGAAGGGGTTAATTAATTTTAACATTCTCATAATATTGTCGCCTTCTATAGACCCAAATGCATTTGTATACCAAATATCAAGAGAATTCTCCAATTTTTGTCGAAGATACGACAATTTATGTTTAAAGTTCAATGAATTTTGGGAATTAAAATTTATGACATTTTTGTCATTATTATCTAAAATATTCATTATGCAAAACAATCTTAAAGGAAAAAAAGATCCGCATTTTTATTCACTATAAGGTGGTATTTTTCAAAATTTTAAATTTCGAATTTTCATTTTTTACACTTTTTGGTACCTCTGACTGGCTTTCAAGTGACTCGCCGAGCGTACGTCCCCTTATTGTATCCAAGCACTCAATTGTCCTAAGAAATATTTTTACTAGGGTTTCCATTTTCAAACACTTTTTATTGTTACACGTTTCAAGCAGAATTTTATGCTCACGAAGTCTTTCTCAACGGTGTAATAGATTTGCTAAAACGTACTTAAGAAGTTTTTTTTCTGCAGCGAAAGAATTGTATGGGACTGCAGGTCAAACAATTAATGCTCACAATTTAATTCATGTAGCTGATGATGCAGTTAAAATGAAGTGTGACTTATTAGCGGAATCTTGCTTTCCTTTTGAAAATATGCTTGGGAAAATAAAATCTCTTCTACGATCAGCAAATAGGCCTTTGGCTCAAGTTTGCCGGAGATTGCATGAAATTATGATTTGTAATCAACAAAAGAAAAAAGTTTTTCTCAAAACAAATGTTTTAAAAGAATCAAATTCAGGTATAACATTAGTAAAATACGATCAATGCACACTTAGTTTAAATTCTCCTGATAACGTAGTCCTTTTGAAAAATGACACCGTCTTTGAAATTAAAAAAATGTCATGTTTTGAAAAAACAATACGTTTAGAAGGCAAACAAATGGAATTTGGGAAAACAATTTTGGGCAAACAAAAAGGATATTTTTGATTATCCTTGTAATTCTTCAACTCTAAAAATGTGGGAACTTCTACCGGAAAAATCTCACAAAACGTACGCTTGTTTAATTGACGATATTTCTTCCAAGGTTATGAAATTAAGTTTAAATTTAAAGAAGGTACTGAAGAAAGAGTATTTGTAATTCCTTTACTGCATTGCTTAGAGTAAAGAAATCTAACAAATATAAAAGACTTAATGCAAATAATGTTAAAAGTATGTGAGAAAAAATATAAATTGATTAGAAAACGATTATCTTCAAAAGTAATAAAACATTGTTATAACACCTTATTGTATCATTAATTGTTATCAAAATTAAACTTTTAAATTCAACAAATTATTAAAAAGAATTGTAAAAATTTGTTATTATTATTGAATAAATTAATTTCACTTTTTAAAAGCGATATTTTAATTTACTTTTTTAAATCTTCCTAAAAACACAATACTTTATATTCACGTACTATTTACAATATCTGAATATAAGGTTATGTAAATTAATTATATCAGAACTAAAAGTAAAAATCACAAAAACGTCGTAAATTATTCCTTATTTCATCATTTTTTTACATAAATTCCCCGAAGATGACGTTTTTTTGTAACCTAGAGCACGATATGAAGTGGTCAGGATGACGGCGATCGTTAATTTGCACTTTGAATGATAAAATTTTGTTGATTTCTCAAAAATTCCCCGAAAATGACGTTGTTTTCTAACCTAGAGCACGAAAGGAAGTGGTCAGGATGAGGGCGATCCCTTATTTGCACTTTGAATGGTAAAATTCTGTTCATTTATCGAAAATGACGTTCTTTTCTAACCTAGAGCAAGATAGGAAGTGGCCAGGATGACGACGATCGTTAATTTGCACTTGGAATGGTTAAATTCTCTTACTTTATCAAAACTTCCTCGAAGATGACGTTGACCTCTAACCTAGAGCACAATAGGAAGTGGCCAGGTTGACGGCGACAGTTTATTTGGATTTGGAAGGGTTAAATTATGTTAATTTATCGAAACTCCTCGAAAATGACGTAGTTTTCGCACTTAGAGCACAATAGGAAAAAGTTTAACGAGAAATAAATTATGGTTTACTTCCTGAACTGGCAATTGCTTAATTTGTGCTTTCGATTTTGTTTTTTAACATTCCAGACAACTAGAGCGACGAATAATGCTGCTGAGTATTGCCTGAATGAATAATTATAAAAATTTTAATCGTCGGGAAAAAGTGCGGCGCAAGGTTTCAAAACTCAGATGGGCCATGGATGGCTTCCACGGATGGCCCCAGTAATGTAAATGTTCAAGTGTAAACAGAATAATTTTCAACCATGGAAAATCGCATTTAAAAATGTACAATTTTTTTATAGTTGAAAGCAACTTTTATTGATTTAAAAGGTTAAAGATAAAAATGCCTATACTTTTACTAATGAACTTTTTGATGAAAAATTGTTTTTTATTTAAAAACAAGAAAATGTAATATTTTGTTTGTCAGAATCTTTAAAAAATAAATTTTTTAAATTAAGACTGGATAGTTACATTTATTTAATAACAATTAAAAAATTCGACATGTGAACATTATTTTTCGTTTAAACAACAAACTCCTTTAAATAAAAAAAAATTATTGCTCTCTAAAATTATTAAGAGACGAATGCAGAGATGCAACAGAATTTTTAATAATAACTTGTCCTTTATAGACATAATATTCTACAAAATTGTAGAAGAAAAAAGTGAATCAGAAAAGTGGACATTTGTAATGAAGTGTAATTTAAAAAAGATATCGAAAGCGATGATTGGTCCATTTCAATTAGTTTACCATCCAGTTGAATAAAATATGTGTCAATTTTTTGTCCTGTTACACATATTACATAGGGTTGAATACATCCACTCGCTTCCTTGATAACGCTTTGAATATAATCTGTTACCTTTGTTCCTTCCTAAAATAAATTTTTCTTTATGTGAAATCTATACATCACACTGCATCCTACGAATAAACTCTGTTTAAAAATAAATTGAATCATTATTAATTTTTTTGTTTTAATTTATTCTTTAGGAATCACATATCACTAACAATCTTTTTAAGTTTATTTTAAATTATTAATGTAAGGCGATTTTCCTTATTAAAAATATAATATTGAATCATTGAACAATTCTTACCGGAAGAATTCTGATCAAATCAGGATTTGGAAAAACTTTTGTAGAAGAACTGACGTCAGCAATTTGCTTTTCTTGTACTTGATCCTCTGAAATTTTAGCCTGAAAATTTTTGTAAATAATAAAATACTTTATAAATTCTTTTGCTCGCGTATTTAACTTACTGTGTTTTAATTGCGGAACAATTTTTCAATAGCTGTTAAATTCACATTTTATCGTTTGCAATTGAAGTCCATTATAATTAGGGAGTTTAAAGGTTATTTAGTTATCTTCTCTAATAAAACAAGTTGTAAATTCAGATGTTCATTACATGAACATTTTGCTTCCTCTTTACGATCAGCAAAAAAATTTGCTTCCTCGTGGAGAAAGCAAAATTTTATTGCCAAAATGTGATTTTGATTTTTTAATTTTCATTAATTCTTTAATTTTTCTCAAATGTATACTTTATATATATCGATCGATTCGTCTTGACGTAAGGAATAAAATTATTTCATATATAAACATGAATTTAAATAAACACAAAATTTTATAGCCCAAATGTGAAATTTTGATTTTTTTACTTTCATTAATTCTTTAAATTTACCTTAAATGTATACTTTATATATATATCGATCGATTCGTCTTGACGTAAGGAAAACGATTTTATTATATATAACCTTAAATTTTTCTATTTAAAAATTTTTTCGATTAAAAAAAAATTTTTGGAAAAAAGACGATAAAATTTTTTTTTTGGGATATTTTTCAAAATCCTTTGGTCAGATTTGAGATATTAATATGATAAATGAGCCTACCAAATTTTATCTAAATCCATTAAAACCTGTTAAAGTTATCTTCTAAACAAAAAAGGGATCCACACACACACACACACATACATACATCCGGACAATTGATCAGGATCTCATATAACATGTTTCTATAAAGAAAAAAATTTGTTTCCGCCACTTTGAAAAGTTTTATAAATGAAAGGACTACAAAGCTTCCTCCACAAGGAAGCAAAAAGAATTATAAATCATCTAGGTTAGGCCCAAATGAGTTTAAAATTAAAAATTTTTTGATAATAAATTTTTTTTTTAAATTCATCTTTGACCAATCGATTCGTAAGGTATCCTTAATATCTTAAAGTGTTTATCTTAATTTTTTTGAAAAATAGATTTATCAGGTTTTGAAAAATTGCTCCTCAATTGGTTTGAAATACAAAGAATTTGAAAAAATACCTAACCTTCTTTTTTCCTTTTGACGCTTCATTAACTTTCCTCTTTTCTGCAATATTTGAAGTTGTCAACAAAGCATCTAAGATAGCCAAAGGTTTCCAATTTTCTTTAAAACACAAATAATCAGAATAATAAGTAATTTAAAAAAGTGTAAACGGTAGAATATACATTTCGATTTATAAGATAAAAAACTCACCGTCTTTTAAGATAGATGCTTTTCGAAAAATGTCAGGACGCTTTACTTTACAATAAACAATAATAATTTCTGCTTAGTTTGCAGGGAAACGTGCCAAAAAATTATTATTTAATTCTTCATTAAATAATTTTGTAAACTCCAATTCAATCTAAAAAAGATTTGATATTATTTTTAAACTCTTCTACTTATAAATTTTAAGTTCTATCCAGGAATTTTTTTACTACACCGTTCAGTTTGCAAGTAAAAAAACTTCTTTAATATTTTAAACGTTGATTATTTTGATGTGTGTTTACCATTTCTCCATGAAAATCAAAAAGGCGAGGATATTTTGACATAATGTCATGAATTGTAGGATTCTCATTTACAATCCAGTTGCGTCGGTCGTCAAAAGTTTCCATTAAACAATAGCATAATCCTCGTTTTTTATCAGCTCGGGGCATAGTAAGTTGCATCCAAGATATCTGCAAGATATCTTCTATTATATTAAGTTAACAAATTTCGAAAAACGACACCGACCCCGTGACCTCGACACCGTCCTTGAAAAATCTATTTTCAATTATTTTCAAATAAATCAAAATACTTTGCATATATGCTGTTAGAAAATCTTACAAACTATTTTTATGTAACATCTTTTTTCAATTTTAACCCGAAAAAGGGTTATTTTGCAATTTTTTAAGAATTTTTTGATTTTTTCAATTTTTTATTATTATTTTTTATTATTTATTGTTGTTTTTTCAATTTTTAGTTAGTAACCTATAATATTGTGTCTAATTTTAAGTGTCATTAAAATCAAATGTTTTTAACTTAATAATTTTAACGTTTCTTAATTTAAAACGAAACATCTTCTATTATATTAAGTTAACAAATTTCGAAAAACGACACCGACCCCGTGACCTCGACACCGTCCTTGAAAAATCTATTTTCAATTATTTTCAAATAAATCAAAATACTTTGCATATATGCTGTTAGAAAATCTTACAAACTATTTTTATGTAACATCTTTTTTCAATTTTAACCCGAACAAGGGTTATTTTGCAATTTTTTAAGAATTTTTTGATTTTTTCAATTTTTTATTATTATTTTTTATTATTTATTGTTGTTTTTTCAATTTTTAGTTAGTAACCTATAATATTGTGTCTAATTTTAAGTGTCATTATAATCAAATGTTTTTAACTTAATAATTTTAACATTTCTTAATTTAAAACGAAACATCTTTTATTATATTAAGTTAACAAATTTCGAAAAACGACACCGACCCCGTGACCTCGACACAGTCCTTGAAAAATCTATTTTCAATAATTTTCAAATAAATCAAAATACTTTGCATATATGCTGTTAGAAAATCTTACAAACTTTTTTTATGTAACAACTTTTTTCAATTTTAACCCGAAAAAGGGTTATTTTTCAATTTTAACCCGAAAAAGGGTTATTTTGCAATTTTTAAAGAATTTTTTGATTTTTTCAATTTTTTATTATTATTTTTTATTATTTATTGTTGTTTTTTCAATTTTTAGTTAGTTACCTATAATATTGTGTCTAATTTTAAGTGTCATTAAAATCAAATGTTTTTAACTTAATAATTTTAACATTTCTTAATTTAAAACGAAACATCTTCTATTATATTAAGTTAACAAATTTCGAAAAACGACACCGACCCCGTGACCTCGACACCGTCCTTGAAAAATCTATTTTCAATTATTTTCAAATAAATCAAAATACTTTGCATATATGCTGTTAGAAAATCTTACAAACTATTTTTATGTAACATCTTTTTTCAATTTTAACCCGAAAAAGGGTTATTTTGCAATTTTTTAAGAATTTTTTGATTTTTTCAATTTTTTATTAATATTTTTTATTATTTATTGTTGTTTTTTCAATTTTTAATTAGTAACCTATAATATTTTTGTCTAATTTTAAGTGTCATTAAAATCAAATGTTTTTAACTTAATAATTTTAACATTTCTTAATTTAAAACGAAACATCTTCTATTATATTAAGTTAACAAATTTCGAAAAACGACACCGACCCCGTGACCTCGACACCGTCCTTGAAAAATCTATTTTCAATTATTTTCAAATAAATCAAAATACTTTGCATATATGCTGTTAGAAAATCTTACAAACTTTTTTTATGTAACATCTTTTTCAATTTTAACCCGAAAAAGGGTTATTTTTCAATTTTAACCCGAAAAAGGGTTATTTTGCAATTTTTTTAGAATTTTTTGATTTTTTCAATTTTTTATTATTATTTTTTATTATTTATTGTTGTTTTTTCAATTTTTAGTTAGTTACCTATAATATTGTGTCTAATTTTAAGTGTCATTAAAATCAAATGTTTTTAACTTAATAATTTTAACATTTCTTAATTTAAATCGAAACATCTTCTATTATATTAAGTTAACAAATTTCGAAAAACGACACCGACCCCGTGACCTCGACACCGTCCTTGAAAAATCTATTTTCAATTATTTTCAAATAAATCAAAATACTTTGCATATATGCTGTTAGAAAATCTTACAAACTATTTTTATGTAACATCTTTTTTCAATTTTAACCCGAAAAAGGGTTATTTTGCAATTTTTTAAGAATTTTTTGATTTTTTTAATTTTTTATTATTATTTTTTATTATTTATTGTTGTTTTTTCAATTTTTAGTTAGTAACCTATAATATTGTGTCTAATTTTAAGTGTCATTAAAATCAAATGTTTTTAACTTAATAATTTTAACGTTTCTTAATTTAAAACGAAACATCTTCTATTATATTAAGTTAACAAATTTCGAAAAACGACACCGACCCCGTGACCTCGACACCGTCCTTGAAAAATCTATTTTCAATTATTTTCAAATAAATCAAAATACTTTGCATATATGCTGTTAGAAAATCTTACAAACTATTTTTATGTAACATCTTTTTTCAATTTTAACCCGAAAAAGGGTTATTTTGCAATTTTTTAAGAATTTTTTGATTTTTTCAATTTTTTATTATTATTTTTTATTATTTATTGTTGTTTTTTCAATTTTTAGTTAGTAACCTATAATATTGTGTCTAATTTTAAGTGTCATTATAATCAAATGTTTTTAACTTAATAATTTTAACATTTCTTAATTTAAAAGGAAACATCTTTTATTATATTAAGTTTACAAATTTCGAAAAACGACACTGACCCCGTGACCTCGACACAGTCCTTGAAAAATCTATTTTCAATAATTTTCAAATAAATCAAAATACTTTGCATATATGCTGTTAGAAAATCTTACAAACTTTTTTTATGTAACAACTTTTTTCAATTTTAACCCGAAAAAGGGTTATTTTTCAATTTTAACCCGAAAAAGGGTTATTTTGCAATTTTTTAAGAATTTTTTGATTTTTTCAATTTTTTATTATTATTTTTTATTATTTATTGTTGTTTTTTCAATTTTTAGTTAGTAACCTATAATATTGTGTCTAATTTTAAGTGTCATTAAAATCAAATGTTTTTAACTTAATAATTTTAACATTTCTTAATTTAAAACGAAACATCTTCTATTATATTAAGTTAACAAATTTCGAAAAACGACACCGACCCCGTGACCTCGACACCGTCCTTGAAAAATCTATTTTCAATTATTTTCAAATAAATCAAAATACTTTGCATATATGCTGTTAGAAAATCTTACAAACTATTTTTATGTAACATCTTTTTTCAATTTTAACCCGAAAAAGGGTTATTTTGCAATTTTTTAAGAATTTTTTGATTTTTTTAATTTTTTATTATTATTTTTTATTATTTATTGTTGTTTTTTCAATTTTTAGTTAGTAACCTATAATATTGTGTCTAATTTTAAGTGTCATTAAAATCAAATGTTTTTAACTTAATAATTTTAACGTTTCTTAATTTAAAACGAAACATCTTCTATTATATTAAGTTCACAAATTTCGAAAAACGACACCGTCCCCGTGACCTCGACACCGTCCTTGAAAAATCTATTTTCAATTATTTTCAAATAAATCATAATACTTTGCATATATGCTGTTAGAAAATCTTACAAACTTTTTTTATGTAACATCTTTTTTCAATTTTAACCCGAAAAAGGGTTATTTTGCAATTTTTTAAGAATTTTTTGATTTTTTCAATTTTTTATTATTATTTTTTATTATTTATTGTTGTTTTTTCAATTTTTAGTTAGTAACCTATAATATTGTGTCTAATTTTAAGTGTCATTAAAATCAAATGTTTTTAACTTAATAATTTTAACGTTTCTTAATTTAAAACGAAACATCTTCTATTATATTAAGTTAACAAATTTCGAAAAACGACACCGACCCCGTGACCTCGACACCGTCCTTGAAAAATCTATTTTCAATTATTTTCAAATAAATCAAAATACTTTGCATTAATGCTGTTAGAAAATCTTACAAACTATTTTTATGTAACATCTTTTTTCAATTTTAACCCGAAAAAGGGTTATTTTGCAATTTTTTAAGAATTTTTTGATTTTTTCAATTTTTTATTATTATTTTTTATTATTTATTGTTGTTTTTTCAATTTTTAGTTAGTAACCTATAATATTGTGTCTAATTTTAAGTGTCATTATAATCAAATGTTTTTAACTTAATAATTTTAACATTTCTTAATTTAAAACGAAACATCTTCTATTATATTAAGTTAACAAATTTCGAAAAACGACACCGACCCCGTGACCTCGACACCGTCCTTGAAAAATCTATTTTCAATTATTTTCAAATAAATCAAAATACTTTGCATATATGCTGTTAGAAAATCTTACAAACTTTTTTTATGTAACATCTTTTTTCAATTTTAACCCGAAAAAGGGTTATTTTTCAATTTTAACCCGAAAAAGGGTTATTTTGCAATTTTTTTAGAATTTTTTGATTTTTTCAATTTTTTATTATTATTTTTTATTATTTATTGTTGTTTTTTCAATTTTTAGTTAGTAACCTATAATATTGTGTCTAATTTTAAGTGTCATTAAAATCAAATGTTTTTAACTTAATAATTTTAACATTTCTTAATTTAAAACGAAACATCTTTTATTATATTAAGTTAACAAATTTCGAAAAACGACACCGACCCCGTGACCTCGACACCGTCCTTGAAAAATCTATTTTTAATTTTTTTCAAATAAATCAATATACTTTGCATATATGCTGTAAGAAAATCTTACAAACTTTTTTTATGTAACATCTTTTTTCAATTTTAACCCGAAAAAGGGTTATTTTTCAATTTTAACCCGAAAAAGGGTTATTTTGCAATTTTTTAAGAATTTTTTGATTTTTTCAATTTTTTATTATTATTTTTTATTATTTATTGTTGTTTTTTCAATTTTTAGTTAGTTACCTATAATATTGTGTCTAATTTTAAGTGTCATTAAAATCAAATGTTTTTAACTTAATAATTTTAACATTTCTTAATTTAAAACGAAACATCTTCTATTATATTAAGTTAACAAATTTCGAAAAACGACACCGACCCCGTGACCTCGACACCGTCCTTGAAAAATCTATTTTCAATTATTTTCAAATAAATCAAAATACTTTGCATATATGCTGTTAGAAAATCTTACAAACTATTTTTATGTAACATTTTTTTTCAATTTTAACCCGAAAAAGGGTTATTTTGCAATTTTTTAAGAATTTTTTGATTTTTTCAATTTTTTATTATTATTTTTTATTATTTATTGTTGTTTTTTCAATTTTTAATTAGTAACCTATAATATTTTTGTCTAATTTTAAGTGTCATTAAAATCAAATGTTTTTAACTTAATAATTTTAACATTTCTTAATTTAAAACGAAACATCTTCTATTATATTAAGTTAACAAATTTCGAAAAACGACACCGACCCCGTGACCTCGACACCGTCCTTGAAAAATCTATTTTCAATTATTTTCAAATAAATCAAAATACTTTGCATATATGCTGTTAGAAAATCTTACAAACTTTTTTTATGTAACATCTTTTTTCAATTTTAACCCGAAAAAGGGTTATTTTTCAATTTTAACCCGAAAAAGGGTTATTTTGCAATTTTTTAAGAATTTTTTGATTTTTTCAATTTTTTATTATTATTTTTTATTATTTATTGTTGTTTTTTCAATTTTTAGTTAGTAACCTATAATATTGTGTCTAATTTTAAGTGTCATTAAAATCAAATGTTTTTAACTTAATAATTTTAACATTTCTTAATTTAAAACGAAACATCTTCTATTATATTAAGTTAACAAATTTCGAAAAACGACACCGACCCCGTGACCTCGACACCGTCCTTGAAAAATCTATTTTCAATTATTTTCAAATAAATCAAAATACTTTGCATATATGCTGTTAGAAAATCTTACAAACTATTTTTATGTAACATCTTTTTTCAATTTTAACCCGAAAAAGGGTTATTTTGCAATTTTTTAAGAATTTTTTGATTTTTTCAATTTTTTATTATTATTTTTTATTATTTATTGTTGTTTTTTCAATTTTTAGTTAGTAACCTATAATATTGTGTCTAATTTTAAGTGTCATTAAAATCAAATGTTTTTAACTTAATAATTTTAACGTTTCTTAATTTAAAACGAAACATCTTCTATTATATTAAGTTAACAAATTTCGAAAAACGACACCGACCCCGTGACCTCGACACCGTCCTTGAAAAATCTATTTTCAATTATTTTCAAATAAATCAAAATACTTTGCATATATGCTGTTAGAAAATCTTACAAACTATTTTTTTTATAAGTCCAAAAAAATTAGGGACTTAGAAAAATATTGATTTTTTTTATTTTTAATACTTAATTTTCATTTACAATAATGTAAAGTTATAATATGTTTTAACTTATTCATCGCATCCATTCTGCAATTATCGTAAGTTGTTTTATTTCTTATTAATTTTTAAATTAATTTTTTATAATTCATTTTCATATGAGTGATGTTATTAATAAATTATTATAATTTATTATATTATTTTCGTTATGTTACGCAGCCGTTACTACTCAGCGCAGCCAGTTTACAGTTTTTGTTATTACTTGATTATATTTTATATATTTTTTTCTTTTAAATGGTTTTTTAATCCTTTCTATGCGATATGATCAGTATAATAATAATTATAATATTTTTTTATGGCGCTGCCGTTACAGTTCAGCGCAGCCATTTCCAATTCAATGAATTAATTTATTTATAAAGTAGAGTTAGTAGATTTCTTCGTAGTCGAATTTTTTTAAAACATGTGTTAAATATTATTGTAATATTTCTTGGTAAACAATGTTTCTTACATAAATTTCTTTTTCATTGCCTATCTTTTTTTTATTCCTTTTTCGCTAAGTGTAATACTTGAATTTTTATATAATAATACTTTAAGATTATATTTTGAAGTTACTCTTGATAATGCAACATATAATTGTCACGGACTAAAAACATGTGAAGGAAGGTATATGCCTACTTTTTGGAAAGATTGGCCTTGAGATTTGTTGATTGTTAAAGCAAATCCAAGCCTTATTGGAAATTGCTTTCTTGACATTTGAAATGGTATTTCTTCGTTAGACGGTGACAATGTAATTCGTGGCAAAATTACAATCTCATTTTTATAATTTCCCGTTATTACTTGTGCATGAATAGAAAAACTACCCATTTTAATAACTTTTAGTCTTGTTCCATTACAAAGACCTCTTTCTAAATTAATATTCCTTAAAAGTATCACAATTGCACCAATCTTTAATATTAATTTGTGAGGAGGAAGTCCATTTGGAGTTAAAATATTTAATACTTCAATTGGTATTAAGTTAGTTATTGTGTCACACTTTTCATCTTCTTCAGATGAATCTATACTTAAATATTCTCTAGGTTCACCTGTCATTCGTTTAACAACATCATTATTTAATTCAAATACATCATTATTCCGGAGAACTAGTAATATATGTAAAATCAAAGAAGAATCTCTTTATAACGGTTTACTATAGATAATAAAAATAAAAACCGATATTTTAAAAAGTATTTCGATTTATTACGAATATTTTTCTCAAAAATTTGCAAAATCTACATGTGTTTGTGGGACAATTTACATCAATATAATATAATATAATTTAAGATAAAAAAAATATATTATAATATAATATAATTAATATTGTTGTCATAATTATAATAAAAAAAATCTAATATTTAACAATTGTCATTTCATCCTTCAATGAAACTGATCAAAATTAAGATAAATTTTATACAATATTAATAAGATATTAATTTAAATCATAAATTATATATATAATATACATAAACTACAATAAGTAAACAACAATAAGTACAATTTTAACCGAGCGTGCGTTAGCGAGCGAGGAATACATCGCTAGTTATAAATGAAAGTCTAATAAGAATTGAATTAAAAATTAATTAAAAAAACATCATGAGTTTATAAATTGGCAAATTTTTAAGTTACGAGTTATATTTATAGTGTGTACTTTTTCTTCTAATTCTTATAATAAGTTATGTACTGCAGCAGCTTTATTACTTGCATTATTTTTCTTAGAATTTTTTACGTTCTTTGTAACGTATTTTTTTTGAAGGGCTGACTACTTTTCAAGCGTTCCACAGTCTAAACTCTATAAATCCTTTTCTTGTATTTTTATCAAAAAAATGTTCCTAAAATAATATGTTCACAAAAGTTAAATATAAATAAGTTAAATAAGTAAAGACTAGAAGAATAATCAGAAAACTTACACATCCTGCTGATGTTTCTCTATACTTTGTTTTCTCAAGGAAGGAAATTCCCTAACTATAGCTTTAGCTAGAGCCCATTTTGCGCCATGTGGAGGATATCTAAAAGAATATAAGAACCATATTTATTATTGTAAATAATTTAACAAAAATAAAAACGTAGTTTAAATTGTATAATTTGATTTTATTTAAAAAACTGTATATCAATACTTACAGATTTTTCTATTCATTAATCAATTCAGAGACCAGTATTCGCACCAAGGCACGTCGATCTTCTTCTTAAGAATATCGATTAAAAAAAATAAAAATCAATATTATTTTATTATAAATATTATTAATTAAACCTTATTTAAGAAATAAATAAATTACAAACTTTCCAATAAGTATAAAATTTTCAAATTCAAAGATAGCAATTTATTATTTAATAAAATTATAAATAAATAATAATGTGTGTTTTTTTGAGCTCTACAACTTTTGTCTATAACTTTTTTCGAAATTTTGCGTTTTTTACAAGATAATCGCAAAAAACCATGATTTTATGGCGTTTTTTATGGTTTTTACCATGATAATCAAATTTGCGCCAATTTTTACTATCATTTTCGTAATCAGCGCACCAAAATACGTTAGTATACCAAGTTTCATTAAGGGGGGAACACCAGTTGTAACTCAACAAATAATGCTTTTTACAAGAATATTTTCCAAAAGAACAATGAATCTTTTTAAAGAATACTATTTATTAGTTAAAAGTACATGTAAAAAGCTGTAATTTAAAAGAAAAAAAAAATTTTTTTAACAAAAACTTTTGGAGATATGAGCAATTGAAGTGGCGCCTTAAGAAAAAAGGCGAATTGCGGTGACCAGCATTCTGCAAGTATACTTCGTCTGAAATACAAAAATGAAATTGATTTACATTTATTATAAGATTATCTAGTTCGTGATCGAAGGATTTAAAAAAAAAAAAAAATTTGACAAAATGGCGACCTGTCAAAGTCAAAAGTATGATTTTCGTTAAAAAATACGGTCGATTTTCAGCTATATAAAAAAAAGTTTTGCATAAAAAAAAAATCCTTCGATCACGAACTAGACTGATATGTGCAAATGAAGCACACTAAATTTTAAATAAATCGGTTTAATGGTATTCGAGTAATCGTGGTCACCGACTTGGAAAATGTCATTTTGAGAAAAACGCATTCAAAGTTTCAACTTACTTTTTTTTGTTCAGAAGAAATTTTGTTTCCAAGTTACAAAGACTCATCGATTCCTGGACCATATAATAACTCTTCCGCAGTGGTTGCCGATTCTAAAATGCCAATTTGCTGCCATCTGTCGTTAGGGTCAGGTATGGCTGGCCACCTTGTATGAAGCCACGGGACGCGCCGCTGCTGTGTTCTGTATATCTCATTTATTTTTCACCTGATCAACTTTGAAATTTACAGACACATTTCTAAATATGTATACTTTAAGAAAATTCACAAAAAAAAATCGATTTTTCGAAAGTTACAACTGGTGTTCCCCCTTAAGATCGGAGGTACCCTACTTCGGAAGTACACCCATAAATAAATAGTGGAATACTTACGAAAAGTAGTTATTACACACACTGATAAATATTTATCATAATTATCTTTTTTTTATTTTATATTCATAAATAAATAATAAAATTTATCTCGCTCAGATAACACTAATTTATATATGATATCGTAAATGCAGTAATCGAACTCAAAAACAACAATTATTTGTTACAGGTTAAAATATTTCAGTAACTGCGCCTGCGTTAAGTTCACTGATTCGTCCCAGTAAGCGCAGGACTGAAAACTACTGAATTAATCAGTAAAAAGCCGTTAAGTTACTGATTCATCAGTGAAATATCAAACTACTATTTCATTCACTGAAATTTTCGCTGATCCAAATTTAGAGAGAATATTTAATTAATGGGTAATGTAAGGTTTTTGGATTTGCTGAATCCAAACCTAAAGACAAACTCAAAAAAATTTTAACATCTTCTTTAAAATATAGTCCCATCCATTTTTAAATTAACTAAAAACGCCAATAAATTTTTCTTTTCTTACATATATGTGAAGGAATTACTATAAAAATTTTAAGAAAAGACTTAATCTCTTTTTAAATAATACGTTTAAATTTAAAATCAACTTTTAAAATATTTAAATGTAAGAAAAATATATTAAATTTCTACTAATTTTTCACGGGGGGGGGGGGTAATACCGAAATCAGAATTATAGACTTCGTATAGAGTTCTCTATATAGGTAACCTTTAAGGAATCCTTAAAGGAATTTTCAATAGGGTTCAATTTTGTCTACGAGTTAGACATCTAATATAGGTTCCTTTATAAAAACCATTATGAAATCCTAGGTCCCACATAGGAATCCAGATAGGATCCCATGTAAAATCATATATGAAATTGGGACACGATTTGGTGTATGATTTCATGTAAAAATTTATGATTTTGTTTCTACATTGAAACCTATGTGAATTCCTACATTATTTCCTATAACACGGGTCTACAAAATAAGACTTTTTTTTGTTGTCGGAGTGGTTTCCAATGTATTTTTATGTGCTGAACACAATTCTAGGTTCCAAAGTTGCGTATCATGTCAGGATTTTTGAGAAAAGACGGCGGGGTAAAACCTCTAAAAACAGTGTCTTTGACGTGCTAGATACTTCTATATAGGCTTAAATTAAAGCTTAGATTGTACACTTCAAGAACCATATACCCAAGATTAAAAAAAATTTTAATTTAAAAAAATGGGGGTAAATAACCAAAATATCGTGTTTTTAAGGTAAGTGTTTTCAGTATTTTTTTTCTTCTTAACCTGACGTGCTAGAGACTTCTATAGAGGCCTAAATTAAACGGGTAATTCTTTACTTATGCGTCTTTTCTCAATTTTCATCTTTTTTGATTAGACTAAATTTTTTCCGACGTATTTCAGCATGAAAATAAATAATTAGATGGGGGAGCTCGGAAAAGTTAAATACCGGAAGTCAGGGATGGGAAACATTCTTCAAAAATTCGGTTTTTCGGATTTATCTCAGTAAATACGGAAAATATGAAAAAATAGTTTTAACAAAAGTTGTAGTATTCTGCGGACAAAGTCGGGTGGGATCCGCAG